AACATTACAAATTTAGAATAAGGCAACAGCATTACAAGTATAATTAACTATATAGATTTATCCTTAATTACATGAAAATAAAAAAAATTAAATTTTAAAATTATTCTAATCTCACAATTTCTCTTTAAATATATATATATATATTATACGTTTAAATAAATAAAGATATATATTATAATTAATTATTTTTTAAAAAAGTATTATAATTAATAAATTTATAAATTATAATTTTTATAATGTTAAAATAAAATAAAAAGTAAATATATTTATATTTAAAATATATATAATAATAATTATATTTTTACAAATTAACATAATAGATAAAGTATATATATTAAAAAAATATTACAAGTTAATTAATCATTATAATTTTATTAATTAATTTAATTCATATTCTTATCTTTATTAACAAGAAATTAAAAAAAAAAAACAAAACATAATCAGATTCGGGTATCAAGAATTCAAAAAATGATACCCGAACCCGACATTGGTAATAAAATTACTACCTCCAAACCTTATTATAAAATTTCCTAATTCTATATATATCTACAGGTATCCAGACACATCGGCAGATCAACCATCCAACTTGCGGAACTTTTTCTCTCATTTCCTCCGCCCATAACTCATTGCCCCTCCGCTCTACTCACCTCTCATCTGGCCGTCGCTCTCTTTCTACCATAGCCTGCCCCACTTCCGCTTATCCTCTCCTGGGCCCCGGTTCTCCCTCACAGATTTGGAGAAAAAAAAAATTAAAAACCTCAAGAATGCCCACACAAACAGACCAAATTGGACACGAAGGCCTTAAAATTTTTAAAATTAATCTTGAGTCCTCTCAACTCAAAAATCATTATAGTTCATGGATCCTAATCTAAATCAATTTATCTCAATCATCCACATTATTACATGCCTGTTCTCTTACATAAATACACATGTTAAACCTTTGCAGTCCTTTAAAAATAATCAGATCCTATAGCTTAGAATATATGTTGAGGCTATAATTACTGCCAATATCTTGAAAGTTGATGCAACTGGAAAGCGCAGCTGTGAGCTTCTTCACATCATCAGTTGTGTGCGCTGCACTCAGAGCGATTCGCAACCTAAATAAATGTACAAGTGCAAAAACATAATAATTAATTCCATTATTCCTCACGTTTTTGGACTGGTATATGATGCATCATTAGCTGTACGCCTTTACATAGAATGGATTGGTGGATTAATAGTATTCACTGCTCTGGGAACAACTTCACACTACCTTATTGCTAATGCTTAGTTCATCAGGTTTAACATGGAGTGATCTAGGTTGATGTGTAGGAAATAAAACACCAGGAATGCACATCCAAATTGGAATAAGAAAGAAAAAAAGAAGAAGCATGCTTTCTATCTTGAATGAAGGATATTTGAAAGTAATTGCAAATCAATATCACTTGCAACAGCCCTCATCCGGCGTCTTTCAGATCATTTCTGCCAAAGGATTGGCAACAGGTTTGTGCCAAATGCCTCAATTCCACATAAGGTTAAACAAGAAATGCCCAAAATAGACTACTAAGTATTAACTAATAGAGGAATAGGGGGTATAATACCAAGAAAGTTACCAGACAACTAAAACTGACAAGATGGATGATGATATTAAGTGCAACAAACCTGCAAGAGTTGGGTGGCACTGTTGGTGGTCTGATTGCAGTCAAATGGAAGCTGGATTTCAGCAACTGCCTGTTCCATAAGAAATGAAACAGTTAGAAGCTGTGCGTAGAAATGATTAGTCACTCATAGCCAAACAGGAAGAAAGAAGGGCG